AAATCCTCTCCCTGAAAAAAAAAAAAAAAAAAAAAGGAAAAGAAAAAAAAAAAGAAGTAGGGAGAGCGAGCGAGCACAATCTGATCTGATCAAGCACTTTCAGCTTCATCCCTCCTGGGTCACATACTGCTTCTCCACCAAGGTTTGTGCTGAATTTCTTCAGAAACTTGTCTTTTTTTTTTTTTCTTCCCCCCTCTCCCTCTCTCGCTCCCTCCCCCTCCCCTTTTCCTTGCAAAAGCTCGCTCCTTCCCTTCACCCTCACTCTCTTCTTTATTGCTTTATCTCCCCTCCTCTCTTTTTATTTTTTCTCACCCTTCTCCCTCCTTCCCCGGTTGCATAATAATTAATGGGCAATCCAAGTGGCTCTGGGCTCCAAAGCAGCGAATGGCACAAGTTCTCACCGGCTTAAGCCACTGGAGCTTCTCAGGTGCAAATAGAGCAAAATAAACAAATAAACAAAAAAGAAACACCAAAAAAAAAGAAAACCCCAAAAAGAAAGAAAAAAGAGACGGCGATTAAGAGCGCTGCAGCGGCAGGAGCGCGCTGAGAGCCGCTCCGTTTCCCTCCCTCGCTGCCGGGAGGGGAGAGAGCGAAAGAGAAAGAGGCGCTGGGAGAGGTGGGTCCAGGCAGAGCGTGGACTTCCCAGGGATCGCTGCCGAGGGATGGGATGGGTTTGCTCCTGCCTAAAAAGTCAGGTGCTAAAGTTCAGAGCTCCTCAACCACGTTTCTCTCCGTCTCTCTCTCTCTCTCGGCTCCTTCCCTTTCCTCTTTCTCGTTACAGGTGATCAAAGAAGAGAAACAGCTGCAAAAGAGCGGAAGATACCGAGGGGATCTCGCTTCGTAGAGATTTTTTTCCCTGAGTTTGTTTGTTTTCCCTTCTATTTTTTCCTTTTTTTAAAAAATTATTTTGTTTTTTTTTCTTTTCTTTTCTCTTTTTTTTTCTTTTTGGAATCGATCGTTTCTCACCCTCCCACCAACTGCAACCAAACCAAAACAGAAACAACCCCCGAGCTCGCCGAGCATTTCTTTCTCTGTTGTTGCTGTTGTCGCCACACACTCCCCCCCTACACCCCCCAAACCCTTGCATAAACTCCGCACCGTCTTCCCCCTCCGGTTGCAAGCCCTCCGCGCCTCGCCGAGGAGGAGGAGGAGGAGGAGGAGGACGAAGGGCAGCGAGCTCGGAAGATGGAGGTCTCGGCGGAGCAGCCGCGGTGGGTGAGCCACCACCACCCGGCTGTGCTCAACGGGCAGCACCCGGACTCGCACCACCCGCCGCTCGGCCATACCTACATGGACCCCGCGCAGTATCCGCTCGCCGAGGCAGTGGATGTACTTTTTAACATCGACGGACAAGGCAACCCCGTCCCCCCCTATTACGGCAACTCCGTGCGAGCCACGGTGCAGAGATACCCCGCGGCCCACCCCGGCGAGTTTTTTTCCGCGCCGCCGAGAGCCCCGGCCCCTCTTGCTGCCGCCGGGGCAGACCCCTGACGGCGGGGAAGCTACGTCACGGGTGAATTTCGGGGTTGGCTTCTTGGAAATAAATCAAAATCCAGGCTGGCTCGCTCTTTTTCTTCCTTCCTTCCTTCCTTCCTTTCCTTCCTTCCTTTCTTTTTCTCTTTCTTCCTTCCTTACCTTCTTCCTTCCTCGATCTTTCTTTCTTTCTCTCTTTCTTTCTCTCTCTTTCTTTCTTTCTCTCTTTCTCTCTCTCTTTTTCTTTCATCCTTTTTTCTCTCTCTCTCTTTCGCTCTGTTTTCTTTCATCTTTTTCTTTTCTTCTTCTTTTTTTTTTAATAGGTTAAAAGTTAGGGTTCTCGTATTGTGTTTCGTTCCTGCACGATTAGGTGATCTCGGAAACCAGGTTTAGAGCAGGGGAATGAGGACGACCTCGCTGTTCTCACGCTTGGGTTATTTGATTTGCACTTCGTGAGCGTGTTAGGCTCGATGTGAAAGTTTTGCTCGTTCACTCAGGGCCGCATTACGGCTTGTATTAAAAAAAAAAAAAGAAAAAGACAGAAAAAGAGATAAAAAAATCGCGCGATCTAATCAGGTATCAGACCTGCTATGTTTTCCTATAGGTCCTGCAGGAAAGTAGTGAATGAATGTGAATTTTGTTCCTGGGTCACAACTAACGTACTGGCTTTTAGAGAGGAGGCAAAAGAGCTGGGGCTGCTGAGGCCCAAGCCCGCCTAAGGATGAGGGCTTCGGTGCCATCTTTTAAGAAGAATCAGCGCGATCCAGTAGATATCACCGGAGTTTGCACATCTCGTTAAAAATAGGGAAAAGAAGGGGGGAAAAAAAGAGAGAGAGGAAAGAAAAGCAGATCCTGATTTCCTAAGTCGGAGAGTGACCTCTGTAGCGGTGATCCTAAAAAGCCCGAGGTTTGAGAGGGAAATCACCCTAAAATAAAGGAGGCTAATTGGGCACAGCGAGCGGCCGCTGCAGCCGAGCCGGGTTTCAGGGGCTGCTCTCAGACCTCAGCTACTTGTTGAGCGAGAGTCCCGGTGTCAGGGTCTGCTCAGTAACTGCCTTGCTCTGCTGCCAGTCTCTTTAAAACAATTATTTCTAAGGATCAGAAGCTTTGTCCTTTCTTTCTTTTCTTTTCTTGTCTTTCTTTCTTTTTTTTTTTTCTATATATCAGCAGAAAGTGGAAATGCGGTCTCTCTGATCTAGCCTGAATATTATTTACTATGCTACTTCCTGGATAAGATAATGAATCTTGACCCTTTCTATTCGTATAACCCACCTTCCCTTCCTTTAGAGCAGTTACTTTCAGTATTGTTCACGAATGTCTAGTATCATGAAAACCAGCATAGGTGCTTGGAGATTTTATATGCTCACCTAGGCTCACATACAAACATACCTCTATAGATCTGTGCTTGCCTCTCTCCGTCTGTACATCTAGTAGTCTCTAAACACACATATCACGATGCCTACAAAGGTTAAGGATCTCTGGATGTCAATATGCTTCTAGGGCTTTATTAGTAGGCGCAAACTTGCTCTCCAGTTGAATAGCCGTGTTTTTCAGCATATAGCAATTTCTTAAAGTTAATGTGGATTTGGCTAAGGTTTTTTTTTTCTTTTTTTTTCTTTTTTCTGTTCTTTATGGTAAGGGCAGCGATTATTTTAAAGTAATAGGTAGGATTCTTTAAGAACATTTATAACCAAAGGCAAAAGGGTTTGACTGTGTAAATGTAGTGTCCTCTTGCAAAGTCTAAGGCTGCCTTTTAAAATACAAGTGGAGTGTCCCTCGGGACAAGAAGGGATGGACAGTTTCTTTCGAGACAGTTGGTATTCGGTGGATGCGCCATACTACCAGCTGCCGAAAAGTGCAGCCTCACGGAAGAAAAAAAGACAATCCGTGGCGGTTTGCAAAGTAAAGTAGGTCTACAGGAAAAGTTATTGTCCCGTTTGTGGACATCTCCTAGTCCTCGTCGGCTGGCCAGAATATTCCCAGGGTTTGTAGCCCACGGCTGCTCTCGAGAGGGGACTGGGAAATTATTTTCAAGCTAAGGAAAAGCCACACTGGGGCAATTTCACGCAGGATTTTCTCTTAAAAGTCCGCGTGGAAAGGAAAACAAACGAAGCGGGGCTGGCCAAATCCCCTCTTTGCGCCCCATGGCTGCCAACCCTTGGGGTCCCTGAGCCTCAGCCTGGGCACCAGTCCTGCCCGGTCTCAGCGGGGTCGGGGCGGCCGCTTCAGGATATTCAAGATTTTTTATTTTTAAGGGAGGAGGATGAGGTGCAATTCTGGCTGATCCTCCAGCTGTGCCCTTTGGAAAGGAGGGGGACGGGACGGGAAGGGGTTCAACCCCCTCCTCAGCTCCAAGCCGGGCTTATACGGGTTGCAAAGCGTGGCCCAGGGAGTGTAACCTGCTTTTTTCTTTCTTTGTTTTCTTTCTTTCTTCCTTTCTTTTTTTCTTTCTTTCTTTCTTTTTTTTTTTTTTTTTTTTGCTTCTACTTTTTTTCGGCGCAGGGCGCCAGGGGTTCCCCCCCCGCCGCGGCTGAACGGGTCCCTGCCCTGGCTGGACGGGAGCAAGGCGCTGGGCAGCCACCACGGCGCTTCTCCCTGGAACCTCAGCCCCTTCTCCAAGACCTCCATCCACCACAGCTCGCCGGGACCCCTCTCCGTCTACCCGCCCGCTTCCTCCTCCACTTTATCCGCCGGCCACTCCAGCCCGCACCTTTTCACCTTCCCACCGACTCCTCCCAAAGATGTGTCCCCGGATCCGTCCATCTCCACCCCGGGCTCCACCGGCTCCACCCGGCAGGACGAGAAGGAGTGCATCAAATACCAGGTGTCCCTGGCCGACACCATGAAGCTGGAGTCGTCTCACTCCCGGAGCAGCATGGCCTCTTTAGGAGGAGCCACCTCCTCCGCTCATCACCCCATCACTACCTACCCACCTTATGTCCCAGAATATGGCTCTGGACTTTTTCCCCCCAGTAGCCTCTTAGGAGGATCGCCTACGGGGTTCGGGTGCAAATCGCGACCAAAAGCACGCTCAAGCACAGGTAGGGTTTTTGGCTTCTTCGTGCCCATGGCTAGGGAGCGGAGAGGCAGAAATGAAAGCGAGCCGGGAGGTGGGGGACGGAGCGGTAGGGCCGCGTCCTTCTCTCCTCTCTGCGGGGGGCGGAGGGGGGGGTGCGCAAACACACATGTGATGAAAGCTGCAAATGGTATGTAATCCCTTAATGAAATGGGTCATAAGCTATCACAACTCCGAGTACCGGAAAGAAGAAGCTAAAAAGATAGCACTCGCAATTGAACTGTTTAATTTTCCCTTTTATATAGAGAATTAACTCAATATATGAAAAAACATCCTTTTAGTAGAATAGAGCAAGAGCAATGGTTGGTTTTCTTATAAGGTGAGGAAAGAAAAGAAAACCCTTGATTACTGTGACTTAGGATTGTAGCTGGCTCATAACTGTATTCCAGTTCAAGCATGTGATCTCTAATTAAAGGATGTTAAAATATGCAGGATTTGGGGAAAGACTCTGAAGCCAGCCTCAAAGAGTCTTTGTTCCATTAGTCAAAGCAATTTAGTAACAATAAATCAGCTTTGTGTGCACAGACCATAATCTTGATGAAAAATGGAAAAAAGCATACAGCAAAATCCCCAAAGATTATGTCTGTTGAGGCCTAAGTAGTGTGTGTGTGTATGTGTCTGTGTGTGTGTGTGTGTGTGCGCGCATCCTGGAAAGAGACTCCCCGTGTCTTCGCCTGCGAGCATGCGGCAGCGGGGCCGCGGCTGCGTGGGGCAGCCCCTGCGAGGGGGGGTCTGCGTGCATGTGTGTGTGCGTGTGCATATATGCGTCTGTGCATATATGTGTGTGCATGTGCAGAGGAAAGGGCGATTAGTCAAAACTCTCTCTCCCTCTCTTTTTTTTTTTTTTTCCGTGGAGGCTGCTGCAGGGTTGCCTGGCATGAATGAGATCAGTTTTCAGGGTTTTTCCAGGGTGACATTTACTCTGTCTGTCTGAGCAGGGACTGTCTCTATTTAGCTGATATGTTTGAGCTAATCCAATTATTTTCAGACTGCTGCACGCGACAGTTGCATTGTTTATCCAGCGCCAGGAACTTTTTTTAATAGAGTCCGGATGCGGTTAGTGACAAAAAAACCCAGACCTGTATGTTTTGTACATGAAAGCAGGAGAGAGAGAGAGAGATGGAGTGAAACAAAAGAGAGGGAGAGACACTCAAACAGCCCCAGAGTGCCCAGTTGAAGCGGAGGGGAACAAACCGGCCGCGGTATAACCGGGAGAAGCTCCCCGCTTGGCCCCGCTGCGGGAGGCTGCGGGCCGCGGGCGCGGAGCGCG